AAAAGCTCCTTTCGTTTCAGGGGCGCTGCAGGGCCCAGGTTTAGACAGGTCTTTGCCGCCTGCATAGCAACTGAGGTGGGGTCTGATGGGCCCAGGTGTGAACGAATAATGGCAAAGACAATTTATAGCAGTTTCTGTGCGAAGCCCGTTCTGCATACTGTACATTGCGTCTTCTGCAGACTCTGAGGGCTTGGTGCTGCGATTGTCCCTGTTCTACAGCTAGAGAAGTAGAAACTCAAGAGGCCAAGAAAGTAGATCAAGGGCATTCCCCGCCTCCCCCGCCCGCCCCTGCCAGCAGGGATTTGAACTGGAGGCCTCCATCTCCAGAACCTGCCTCATCCAGACGCAGACTGCATCATCCTACAGGGAGGGGCCGCACCTGGGCTGGGAAGATGAACCATACCACCTGGGGATGGGGTGGGGCGGGAGCAGAGGCAGCCAGAATCCTTGTTTAGATGGGGAGGGATGGAGTGCTGGATGAGGGAACTCCACACCTTTCCCAGCCAGGCCATTCCTGTGGACCACAGGAGATCACCCGTCCCAGTTTGTCCAGTTGGAGCCCTGACAAGTCCCATGTCCCTGTTTTCCTAGGACTGTGGGTCCCTGTGCCTGTGGTCTGAGTCACCCCTGGACCAGCTGCAGAGAGTGAATGGCTGAGTGGTCTGATTCGAGGGAGCTGTTTCAGGACACAGCCTGGGAGGCCCTTTCAATTACATTAGCCTCTGGCAACGTTAGAGGGAGATGCTAGCCCCACCCTCCCCCGCCTTCTTCCTGTGGCTCCCTGGGATAGTGATTCAGCAGCAAGTCGGAAGCAGGCTAGACTGTGACCTACCAGGAGTGGAGTCACCGGCAGGGTGGGGGCTGTCAGCACCAGCTCAGGGCAAGAATTGGAGCAAGGAGGGATCGTGGACTGGAGAAGGGGACTCTCATGGGAAGGAGAGGGCTTCTTGAGTTGCTAGGGAACTGAGCCCCAATGCAGGGCCGTTGCTGTCCTGCCACGCCGGGATTGGTTGTAGGGCAGTGGGAAGTGGTTGTAGCATGGAGGAGGATCCCTGCCTTTGCCTCTTGCCCTCCTTTGTGAGGGATGGGGGAGTCCCAGCCACTGGATACCTAAACTGCTTATCAGCCTATTCAGCAGCTAAAAATAGGAAATGGCTTTGCTAAAGGATGCCCAACCGGAAGCTTCCAAAAGGTTTCCTATTAGGGCAGCGCCTACGGGGCGGGAGGCCAGACACCCTGAAGGAGTCAGGATTCCCACCATTCAGTCACAGCCTGGCGATCCCCACTGCCAAGACCTCAGCCTCCACCCTATTAACCCCGTGTGCTGATCAGGCCCCTGGGCTCTGGCTTCCACCCCTGTGCCCACTGCTCCAGGAGGGGGTGGCGATTGGGCATTTGTCTTGAGCCTCAGAGCAAGGCCTGGGTTTTCTGGTCCCCAGTGGTGGCCTCACCCACCCACTGTGTGGCTTTGAGCAAGTTGTCTGGCTTCCCTAAGCTTTGCTCTACTCACCTGCAAGAGGAGAGCCCACTCCTGCTGCAGGGAGGGATCCGGAAGTCCTTGGTGAGGAGGACTCTGTACTCTGGCTGAAGGACAGGCAGGCCAGGAGATTTCTCCGGGGTGGCCGGAGGCTGATGGAGGTGATGCAACCCTGAGGCAGCCTCAGGGTCCCCAGGGGAACTTGTTGGAGATGCAGGTCTTGCAGTAGGTTGGGGTGGGGCCCTCCATCTGAATTTTAACCACTTTCTAGATGATTCCATCAAATGGCAGGTGAGAATCGCCACGCAGAGCCTGGCGCAAAGGGGGCCCTCAAAGCATGTGAGTTTTGTTTCCTTCCCACTCTTTTTTTTTTTTTTGAGACGGAGTTTCGCTCTTGTTACCCAGGCTGGAGTGCAATGGCACGATCTCAGCTCACCGCAACCTCTGCCTCCTGGGTTCAAGCAATTCTCCTGCCTCAGCCTCCTGAGTAGCTGGGATTACAGGCACGCGCCACCATGCCCAGCTAATTTTTTGTATTTTTAGTAGAGATGGGGTTTCACCATGTTGACCAGGATGGTTTCGATCTCTCGACCTCGTGATCCACCCGCCTTGGCCTCCCAAAGTGCTGGGATTACAGGCTTGAGCCACCACGCCCGGCCTTTTTTTGAGACAGAGTCTCACTCTGTCATCCAGTCTGGAGTACAGTGGTGCCATCAGAGCCCACTGCAGCCTTGACCTCCAGGGCTTCAAGCAGTCTTCCCACCTCAGCCTCCCTTGTAGTTGGGAGTACAAGTGCATGCTACCATGCCTAGCTACTTTTTTGAATTTTCGGTAGAGGCGAGAGTCTCACTATGTTACCTAGGCTGGTCTTGAACTCCGAGGCTCAAATGATCCTCCTGCCTCAGCCTCCCAAAGTGCTGGGATTACAGGCATGAGCCGCTGTGCCTGCATCACTCCTGAGTCTCGCTGTGCTCTCCTGTCTCATGGGAACAGCCTGGGTAGCCTGAAGCTGCTCAGAGCTGGAGAAGGAGAAGGTTGCCATCCCTGGGAGGAAGGTGCGCGCCGCCTGGCCGCCAGGTTGGGGGGATGGTCAGTGAGCCATTGGTCCCAGGCTTCTCCTGCCTGGACCAGCAGGAAAATTGTGGGACAGCAGAGGGCAGCTCCTCAGTACCCTCCATCCACTCCCTGCTCTTCCCCAGTAGCCCTCAGTGAAAAGGCCTGAAAAACTAATTTCCTCCTTGGGAGTGGAAAGTCTTCTGGGCAGGGCACAGCTACCATCTAATACTCTCTTCCTCCTCTCTGGAATTCTCTGCACGGTTGAGCTTTTTGGGGGCACAGCTAGGCACTCCAGGACACAGTCTGCCCAATCTCCCTTCTGCAAGGGAGGCAAGCGTGCCCTTGTTAAGGCCTTCCCTGGACTGACTGGTGGGAGCCCAGGGAGGGGGTAGATGGAAACTCTCCCACCTTTCTTTGTTTTTTTTGTTTTTTATTTTTTGAGACCGAGTCTCGTTCTATCACCCAGGCTGGAGTGCCGTGGCGCGATCTCGGCTCACTGCAACCTCCGCCTGCTGGGTTCAAGCCACTCTTGTGCCTCAGCCTCCGAAGTAGCTGGGATTACAGGCAGGCGCCACCACGCTCAGCTAATTTTTGTATTTTTAGTAGAGACAGGGTTTCACCATGTTGGCCGGGCTCGATCTCCTGACCTCATGATCCACCCGCCTTGGTCTCCCAAAGTGCTGGGATTATAGGCGTGAGCCACCGCGCTCAGCCACTCTCCCACCTTTCTGTAGCTCCTTTACAAGGCAACAGTTTCCACAGATTCTCCTCCACCCCATCCACGCTGCAGTTTTTATTCCTTCCGTGGGCTTATAAACCACAGCCTTTCCCCAGATTGGGCAGCCTTGGACAATGGCTGAACCTCCGTTTCCTAATCTCTAAAATGGGGATGATAGGACCTTCCTCTTAGTGTGGATGAGAGGATCGAAGGGGGCATGGAATACCAAGGGGGTTCTCAAACAAGGAAGGGGAGATGTCAGAAAAGCAGATTTCTGAACCTCGGCCCCAGCATTCTGATTAAGTGGGTTCTGAGTCCAAGTTTTGGGAAAGGCAGATGCCTAGGAGCAGGGGAGCTCCCCACTCTCTGCTATGCAAGCAGATCACCTTGGAGCTGAATAAACACTCCCCATGTTGGAGGCCACCCCTAGAGCTCCTGGATCAGAATCTTGGGGAGCCTCCATGAGGCCGACTCTGCTGCCTTCCCTGGGAGCCTGCTGCCTCTTCCTCCAAGAGAATCCCCCTCCACCACACCCCCACCCCCACCTTTCTAGTGGCAGACCAGCGGGCTAGTTGGCTTTGACCAAAGTTGGGCAGCAATTGGCATTTTCTTTGGTCCCTGGGGAAAATGGAAGGCATTTCCTTCAGACTCCAAAGAGAGCCCCATCCAGCCCCTCTGCTGTTCCCCGAGCACTGAAGAGAACTTTCAGTGTTTAGGGGCACTGAGGGTCAGGTTAAGGGAGCCAGCTCACCTTCCCAGTCCCCTAACGATTGTGAATGGAGGGTGGGGTGAGAGGGGTCGCGGAGATAAGGAAGGCTGGAGCAAAGGCCTGATTTGCGAAATCTGCCCATCCTTGAGTCTGGCTTAACTCTTTGCTGGAGGGCAGGGCAGGTAAACGGAGGCCTGAGGTTACAGCAGTTACAGTCTCTGACAGCATTTGAACCCAGTGCTCACTTCCTCGGAAGCTCAACTTCCGTTCCTACCGTTCCTGGCCTCCCAGTTAACTTTGCAGAATCCTCTGTCCCCGACTTCCCACGCCCCATCGGGACTCTCCAGCCGTAGCCTGAGAAGGGTCTTATCCATGGCCGCTGCCAGTCTCAGGTCGGACAGTGAGAGGAAGCAGCCACAGTGGCCCGCAGCGAGTCTCGGGTCTAGGACAGGGACAGACTTTAATCAAAGGGTCACACAAATCTGTGGTTACCTGGAGGGTGGTGTGGAGGACGACACATTTCAGTCGTGACTTACGGGCTGAGTGGGCCGGGTTCACCTCCCAGTGTTTTGCATCGCTAGCGCTAGCGCAAACCATGCAAAGAACAGGGAGGTGAAACGCTTCTGGGCGGGGTGAGCGGGCTCCCAGCGCCGGGTAGGGCCCGGGTTCCGGCGAGCGCCCTCCCGGACCCTCAGTTTCCCAGTTTGGGACGTGCAGACAACCTGCCTCGCCCTCCCCGGCCCGCCGAGGCTTAGGGAAGGTGAGCCCCAGTTAGCCTGCGGGCTGGGGCGGGGCGGGGCGGGGCGGGCGAATCGCGCCCGGGGGCCGGGCTGGCAAGGGGCCCGCGGACGGACGGGCGGGCGGGCTGGCGCGGCGCGCAGTGCGTGCGGCTGCGGAGCGCGCGGCTCGCCGGCGGTGGGCATCACATGAGCAGCGGCACCGGGGACCGACCGCAGCCAGCCTGAGGGCGCCCCCGCAGCCGCAGCCCCGCGCCCGCGCCCGCTCCTAAACATGTCTATCTGTTGTTGCTTCTTTTTCAGGGACTATGGCAGTTCCAAGAGGAAATCAGGTAAGGGAGCCTCCGGGCGTTTTCCCTTCAGCCTTCCTTCCCGCTGCGTGCACGCGCCCCTCCGATCCTGCGGAGGACTTCCTGGGGGCTGAGGGCCGGGGTCGGGGGGTGCGGGGGGAGTTGTCCTTTCGCGCCAGCCCTGGGATCCTGCGGGGCCGGGGGTACTCGCTTCTCTTGCTCCTCCCCAGTGCATGCCCCCTGACACCTCTGGTCCTAGAACCTTCGTTCTCCCCCCCCACCGACTCTCTCGGGCTCCCGCTACCTCGCTGTTTCCAGTGGGAGTGGGGGTGGGTGCATGGGGAGTGCTTGGGTGGCTCGGGAAGGGCCTAAGCCACCGCACCGTGGGCAGCCGGGTCCTTGGCCCCTGGGCTGCGGCGACCACTGCTGCGCAGTGCCGTGACTTCTCCAGTCCTTCCCGCGGTGCAGCGGTGATGAAAGGGTTATTAGAGACGCGGGGCTTCCCTGCGAGAAGGTGAGATTGAGATCCAGGACTGAAAAGGGGTCGTCCTTGAGTCACTTGAGTTTTTAGCGCCTGCACCGTGGACCTTCCTCCCTCCCCCAACTCTGAGCGTGTTCTCCCTGCGGAAGTGGGGGCTCTGCGTTTTGACAGCTAAGACCCGACCCTCCCCAGCACCCTAGCATTGACCTGACAGGTGCCAGGGCCCGCCCGGAGTTTGGAAGGGGGTGGAGGCAGGGAGAGAGGCAGGCCACCCCTCGGAGCTGCCTGCTGTGGGTTGAGGGTAGAACAGGATTCTCTATGAAAGGGGGAGGCTGGGCTCCCCAAATGGCAAACGCCTGGATGTGGGTGGGCTGTAGTTAACTGGGGGAGAGTGGTCCCTAGGAATTAGGGCTGTGTGTGTGCTGAAGTGGGGGTGGGGACAGACTGCTGCAGTGAACGGTGCTGCCACATGGATTGGCCACATTGATGGGGTGGCGGTACCTGGACATCCATCCTGGGGTCTGTTCCTTGGGGATGTAGGTAGTAACACGTGGCTCCTTGAATGGCTCCTGTGCCCAGGTGCATTGGTCTGTGGATAGGTTGAGGGGTGTGCCCCGTGTGGTGGATGGCATAGATGTAATTGTAGGATATGTATGTTTCTGTGTGTGCAAGTACTTGCTCACGTGCCTGTTAGAACCGGGAAAGTTGTGTCTTGGTTTATGTGATGGGGGTGTGTGTGCCTGTGGGGTTCTGTGTACATGTATGAGTCATGATAGCTGTGTGCGATGAGGGTGTGTTTACTTGTTTGGGTGCATAGGTTGGGTGCGTGTGTAGTTGAGATCTATCTGGTTATGGGTTGGAGTCTGTGTTCGTGTGTATTTGTGTACCTGTTTGGGTCGTGTCTAGCTCTGCATGTCCCAAACTGTGTGTGTACTTGCCTGTCACCTGGGTGTGAGGTGTCTCAGGCATGCCTGCCCACTGGTGCAGAAAGGCATTTCTGCGAACATCTGGGTAAGTCTGGGGAATAACGCTCCTCCGCTTTCCCTCCACACAGGCCTCAGGTGGGAAAATGGAAGGAGGGGCAAAACGGATTGTGCTCTGTCACCGCCCGCACGAGAAGCTTGCCTTGGGCCTCAGAGGCATAGTGTCCTGGTTGAACCTGGGCTCAAATTCTGGCTCTTTGTGACCTTAGGCCAGTTGCATACCTTCTCTGTGCCTCGGTTTCCTCATTTTCTTTAAAACAAAGATGCTAATGTATCTACCTGACACAAGAGGATTAAGTATGTTAGTGTGGAATAGTCCTGGCACCTAATAAATATACGTGTGTCAGTTCTCCGCAGCAGGAGCACTTTCTGAAGAACTGGGACCTAGTGCTGGCTCCATTGTCACTTTTCTCCCTACGTGACCTTAGGCAAATTCCTTATCTATGCTGGGCCTCAGTTTCCCTCTGTAAGGCAAGAGCTGGACGAAATAACCTCTTGGGTACCCCGCCGCAGTCTCCGAGGCTCAGCTTCTGCACTGCTTCCTAAGCAATGTAGGGCCACACCCAGGCTGCCTTCCCCAGAGAAAGCCAACTCCCAGTTTCTCTGCCTTCCACTCTCAGGCCAGGAAAAGGATGGATGGAGAAATTTAATTTACATTGGTGTGCTTATGATAATGGCCACTTAGTGTCTGTCGTGGTTGAAAATGCCAGCTCTGGAGCCAGACAGCAGGAGTTGAGAGTCTGGCTTCTCTCCTCTGTGACCTTGGGTAGATTTCTTAGCCTCTCTGTGCCCATTACCTCTTCTGTACATTTGGGATAACATTCATACCTACCCACTTGGCGATGGTTTATCATGTGTCAACTTGGCTGGGCCACAGTGCCCAGATAGTTGGTCAAGCATTATTCTAGATGTTTCTGCAACGGTGTTTTCTAGATGAGATTCACATTTAAATAAATCAGTGGATTTTGAGTAAAGCAGATTAGCCTCCATAATGCAGGCTGGCCTCATCCAATTGGTTGAAGACCTCTTAATAGAACAAAGACTGACACACACCCCCGCCCTCAACAAGGAGTTCTGCCAGCAGCCAGCTTTGGACTCAGCGGCAGCTCTTCCCCCAGTCTCACATTTTGGACTCTCAAACCTCCACAATCATATGAGCCAATTCCTAAAATAAATCTCCCTCTCTTCAAGCTCTCTGTTGGTTCTATTTCTCTGGAGAACCCTGACTAATACACACCTCATATGGTTACAACAAAGATTAAATAAACTAATATATGTAAGCATGCTTAGAACACCGCCTGCCACCTAGAAAGCTCCCCTGGAAGTGCCAGATACTGTTATTGAATGAGCATCTACTGTGTGCTAGGAAATTTACATGTTTCCTCATTTGCTGATCAGAGCCACAGTACATGAGGGGTAATAGGATTCCCATTTTGCAAATGAGAACCTGAGGCTCAGGTGGGGTGACTGCCCACACACAGCCCTTGACAAAGTGAGGATTGGAGTCTGTGTTGAGGGCTCCGCCCTGCTCTATAACGAACCACGAAGCTTCCCAGGGTCACTCCAGCCAGGGGCATTTGCACAGAGGAAATGGATGCCATTCTGGGGTTCACTGTAAATCTCTTTCTGAGCACAGATCTTAGACTTCAGGCAAGGCTTAGGGAAGGTGGAGTCAACAGAAGAAGAAAGTTCTCAGCAACTTTCTGGAGGAAGCAGGGCTGGTGAACTTGAAAACTGAAGGAGAGTTTGGCCTCTAATTTATCTTCATCTTTCTTCCCTCCATTGAACCTACTCCTTCCAGCATTTCCCCATCTCAGGAACTGGCACTATCTACTGTATTGCTCAGGCCCAACATCTAGAAGTCACTCTTTTTTTTTTTTTTAGATAGATTCTCCTCTTTTGCGAAGTCACTCTTTTTTTTTTTTTTAGATAGATTCTCCTCTTTTGCCTGGACTGGAGTGCAGAGGCACAACCTCAGCTCACTGCAACCTCCACCTCCTAGGTTCAAGTGGTTCTCCTGCCTCAGCCTCCAAGTAGCTGGGATTATAGGCACCACCCACCACCCGGGCTAATTTTTGCAGTTTTAGTAGAAACAGGGTTTCACCATGTTGGCCAGGCTGGTCTCGAACTGCTGACCTCAAGTGATCCACCTGCCTCAGCCTCCCAAAGTGCTGGGATGACAGATGTGAGCCTCTGCGCCTGGCCGAGAAGTCATTCTTGATTCTTCCCTTTCTTTTACCCTCCAGCTTGAGCTGCAGAGCCGCTGTCTCCTTACCTTCACCATCACACATGTTAGAAGCCCCCTTCATCTCTCCAGGAAGACCCCACCTTTCTACCTGGTCTCACTGCTTCTCTATTAGCCCTCTATCTGACATTCTCCACACCACAGCTAGGGTGAGCTCTTAAAAAATATGGATCAGCTGGGTGCAGTGGCTCATGCCTGTAATCCCAGCACTTTAGGAGGCCAAAGCAAGAGGATCACTTGAGCCTAGGAGTTCGAGACCAGCCTGGGCAACAAAGCAAGATCCTGTCTTTACTAAAGCCAAGTGTGGTGGGACATGCCTGTAGTCCCAGCTACTCAAGCGGCTGAGGTGGGAGAATCGCTAGCAGGGGTGGCCAGCCAGGTGAGAAGTTTGAAGTTGCAATGAGGCATGATCGTGCCACTGTACTACAGCCTGGGCAACAGAGAGACCCTATCTCTAAACAGGAATGAGGGAGGGAGGGAGGAAAGGAAGAAGAGAAAGAAAGAAAGAAAATAACATACTTTCCTGCCTAAATTCCCCCCAGGGACTCTCCATCCCACCCAGAACTAATTCCCTACCCTGGCTCACAGAGCTTGTGTGACTTGGCCCCTGGCTGCCTTCCTGGCCTGGGCTTTACCCCTCTCGCCCCGACCCAGCACACTCTGCTCAGCCACACCAGTCACCTTCTGCTCCTTAAACGCATCAAACACATTCTTCTTTGTGGCCTTTGTACTTGATCTTCCCTCTTGCCTGGAATGTTCTTCCCTGATTTTTCACATGGCTGGCTCCATCTTAAGATTTCTGCTTAAAATTGTCACCTTGTCGGCGAAGCTGCCGGATCCTCCGCTGTCCAGCCGCCCCGCAGATGGCCCCTCTTCTTCCCTCCTGATCACTTCCCACACTCCAGTGGTCCCACGTGTTTGCTGCTTCTGTCTCCCACCACCCCGAGAGCAGAGACCTCGGCTGCAGGGCTTGCGTCAGTATCGGGGGCCACTGGTACTTTTCGAATGGGTGGATGAGTGGAAGAAAGCATCTAATCTAAGAAGGAGTGAACCTACCAGGGTCAGGAAAGAAAGGTCATGGTGGCTTCAAATTGAGGATGATTATCTGGAAAGAGGAGACGTTTTTCTGGTTTGGGAGCAGACAGCGGGAGCCTTTGGTAATCCTGAGAGGGCACATGCACAAAGGTGGAGGGATAGGACGGAGCGTGGCTTGTTGGGAGACGGACCTCACTGAGCAGCAGCTGTATGCTAGGCGCTGTGCAAGGCGCTGTGGCTGTAGGTCCACAGGTGAAATGTCTTCAGGGAAACCGCCACCCTGCTGTAGGCCTTTCAG